GTCAAACACCATGTCTTGTATTTACCTTTATTTTCAGAATTTAGCAAAGTGTCTGGAAATTAGAAAATCCCTCCTCATCCCCTGACTAGAAGAGTATAAAGGAATGAACAGCAACACGAACTAACTGGTCCCCAACAAAAGTCAACGTGTTTTTCGGGTTTATGGAAATTTTAGAACAAAAATAAATGGCTAGATTTTAAAAATTAATGTATGAATGCTATTATCAACAAATATATGGATGATTTGCTCTCAGACCCACATTCTTGCCTCAGGTGCATTTCAAAGATCCACAGAGGATGGTTTTACCAGCAAGTGGGCTGTCTCTCCTTAACTTAGAGCAGGCCTAAAGTCGTCAGTCCGACACTCTCCATTCACATTCTCCAGGAGGCCAAGTTCCTCCTCCTAAGTCAGATGTCAGACTCTCAAGGGAAGAAGGGACAGGAAAATGGCCCCAGGGGTCATTAGGTGGAGATGGGTAAGTGTGGGCCTTTTAGCACCTGATGGTCTCCAATCTAAAGAAAGATCCAATAGAGGAGGACAAGGATTCTGAAGACAAAACCTCAGACTTCCCTTATATTCTAGCAAGCCTATTATTTGACCTACTTGCATTTTCTTTTTGACCTAGCATTTAGTTATTCCATCACTGTTTAGTCTCCAGGTGTTGTGTCTGTCCCTTCAAACCACAATCCCCTTTGTTTGACTACATCCTGTATCAGCCACCTGCCCAACCTGAGTTGTGTCTGACCTCAACTATGTGCAATTTATTCTTGACTTCTGCTCTGATTAGGCTTGTGCCTTTAGTAGGAGCAGTGGCCTATCAAAAGTATGAGAGAAACTTCGCTTAAACATCATAGCTTCTCCCAGTGTCTTTCAATGGGTAGGGGCATTATAAAATGTTAAAATTTCACCATTACTTTACTTGATTGGGTATTGTTTTTTGAGAGGCACCAACAAAAAATTATTCAAGTCTCATTCTGGGTTAGGTGTGAATGTTCTGTAAAATCTCAGATGATGAAGAAAATATAAGCTCACTGCCATGTTCATGGAAGGTGGCAGCCTCACCTTTGGTCTCAAGCCTGCTTCCTGGGCTCTACAAAGCTCTAGCACTCAGTTTCCTGGGGCTCCTATAACAAAGTTTTAGGAACTGGACAACTATAAATAACAGAAATGTATTTTCTCACAGTTCGGGGGGAGGGGACAGAAGTTTCAAATTAAGGTTCTCAGCAGGTTTGGCTCCTTCTGAAGGCCATGAGGAAGCGTCTGATGCGTCCTCATCTCCTAGTTCCTGGTAATGGCTGGTGATCCTTGACCGTCCTTGGTTTACAGATGTATCACTTCCATCCCTGCCTTCTTGTGGTCGGCTGGATGTCTCTCTTCTCACAAGGACATGGGCAACATTGAATTAAAGGCCCAGTCTCCTCCAGTATTCGCTCCAGTTCACTTCCTACACCTGCAACAACTGTGTTTCTAAATAGTCACATTTTGAAGTACTGAGGTTTTGGACCTCAACATATGTTTTAGGAGGACACAGTTCAACTCAAGACATGATTTCCTATTTTTACCATAACCTTGTTCTCATCATGAGTTCTAAACTAGATTTCTTATGCTGCCCTGAAATTCCTTATGGGCTTTGGGTTTAGGTGGACTGGAGTCAGCTCAGAACTCAGCTTGCTGCTCCTCACCTAAAGGCACATTTCCATATTTCCTAACAGCTTTGGCCAGTTTTCCCACCTTCAAAATGGAGATCTATGTACCTTTTTCCCACCTTCAAAATGGAGATCTATGTACCTTTTCCTACCTTCAAAATGGAGATCTATATACCTTTTCCCACCTTCAAAATGGACATCTATGTACCTTGCTATATATAAAATACAGCATATAGTAAGATTCTATCTATCTATCTGTCTCAGCATACAGGAAATTCTAAATTCTATTGAGAATTTCTTCCTTCAGTGAATGATTGATAACAGAAAAAACAGTAGCAATTTCTATTAAAATGAATCTTTCCATCAATACTCCTCTCATATTTAAACTCTTCCTCTTAATAATGACTATTTCAGGGCCCGGGATTTAGCTCAGTGGTTCCAGCGCCTGCCTCACAAGCACAAGGTCCTGAGTTTGATCCCTGGTACCAAAAAACAAACAAACAAAAAAATGACTATTTCAGCATAAATATACAGTCACACCAATTGCTGAAGACATCATGAAGCCCTTCAGTTTGTCAGCTTGTGAACCTCTGACCAACACATACAGTTGCAAGGAAATGCTTTAAAACAATTGCTCCAGGGATTTTTGTCAGAATGCATTTATTAGACTGTATCTCATACTTGATCATAAAAATAAACAAGGGCATGAATGACCTGCCCTTAAATGTTCTATAAAATCTGCACTTCAGGACTGTGTTCTACAATTCCTAAAGAAAAGCTTCTGTGTTGGTGTGCTTGGGTAAATCTGGGTATGTAAACTTTGAAAAGCCTTTGAGATGAAAACCATGGTTGTCATTTACTGCCTGACAATCTTTCCAAGGGAGAGAGAGAGGCAGGCACTGTGTCACCAAACAGAACTTCACTTAATTAGTTGTTGTAAGATTATTTACTCCCCTTAGTAAAACAGCGGTCTGTCAGAGCCAGATGCATCTGATTTTTGCAGATGTGGCTGTGGCTTCTGAAATCTATAAAGATTCATCTAAAATATGTGTTCAGGTCTCCTTTTGTGAAACTTTGACAGGATAATAGAATTAGATTTGCTGAATTTCACTAAGCTGTAAAGTAATGTGTCATCAGCTTCACTTACTTTTCAAAAAATATTTCTCTCTGGTAATGCTCATCAATTTAGCTTTTCAACCCCTAAACATGAAATTCTGAAACAAAAAGGATGACTCCATCAGTTATGCAAGTGACAAGATGTTAAACATGTAACTCTCCCACATTGGAGCTCTGGCTGCTTCTGGATAATGCAGATTTGCTTAAGTTTGGCTTAGAACAGGGAAAGGAGGAGAAAGAAGAAAGAAGAAAAGACAAGCAGCTACACTTCCCGTGAGAATGCAGAATTCTCTGGAAGTGTGGAGGACTCTGAACATGACACACCTACTGTGCAAACCTGTGCACCAAAGGACCACTGCAAAGATCCTCACCATCCGGGTCTCAGCTCCTACCCAGCCCCTGGGTCTCCACTTTCTCCCGGACTTACTCTGATGAGAGCACTTGGTACTCTTAAAATTGTTTTCCATTAAGCAAAGGGGTGTGGATTCAGTGCATTTCCAATCCCAGTTTAGAAATCTTAATATGTGTTGGCTGAGTGAATGAACTGGAAAAGTATCCATCTGCAAGCAATTGCTCATCTCAGGCACCTCTGCTGTGACCTCACGTCAAACAGTACCTACTGCTCAGCTGACTCGAACAACTAGATTTTTTAACAAAGGCTTTGGCAGAACTCTAAAACTAGCAACAACCTTAGAGAGCTAAGAGTTTGTTTTCTTCTTCAAGCATCTTGTCATGGGAAATACTGGTGAGATGAAAAGAGGTATCCATTGTTTTCCATGGTGAGTAGTTTATCTAAGTGAGATGTAGGGTGAGCAACAGACTTTTGAGTCTCCCTGAGGAAAGCTTTCCGTGCAAAGGGAGGGGTGCTTCAGGCAGTGGCTATAAAGAGCATAGTGTGAACCTCTCAGCGGTGAAGACAGAGCAGTATAAATAGCACAATAACACCCCGTCAGTGGCAAGCGTTCCTTCTTTCATTCAGTGCACTTTTCATGAGTAACCACCATGTGACGGGCGTTATTCTGGGCACTCAGGCAGATGGGGGCGGTGTGGGAGTCCATGCAGATAGGAAAGCAAAGGCGTATGGCTGAGGCGCCAGGCAGTTAATTCAGTAGATCTCAGATTCATCATCCATCTTTTACTGTAGAGATTAACAAATTGCAAGCTGTGAAATCTTTGAGTAAGTTAATTTATTTTCTTTTGCTTTTATCACTGGGCTGGGTCTTTTATTTCCCTTTCTTCACCGTGCAAAGAGACAGACTCATAAATACGTGATCCTATATGTGGGGTCACCAATACAAGATGAGCTGAGTACCCAGAGCAGCTGCCCAGGGTGGCCTGGTTGGCAGAATCAAGGGCCAGTCCTGGGCTCTAGGCTGAGCTCCCTCCACAGCATCTCTGTCACTCATGTTTCATGCGGACTGCCACATGGTTTTCTACCCTCACATCTACCCGAGTCCTTATGCTGATGCCTTCTAATCAACCCAGCTGTAGAGACCACACATATTCAGGGTCACTCTGAGTTCTGTCATGCCCCAGTGCCATTTTGGGGAGGACTCCTGGTTGCTGTATCCAGGCCCACCCAGGTCACTGCATACCAACTGCCTGGGCGGAGTTTGGGGTCACAGTGACTGCAAAGAAAGAGGTTCCTTTTCATTTTCCTTGGATACTGAACTCACTGGTCTCCATGTTCTTCAGTTATTTCTATTTCTGTTCATTTTAAGTCTCCATCTCCTTCTTCTGCTCTAGTCACACCCAACTCTTTGCTGTTCCCCAGTTATATAACGTGGATTCCCAGCTCCCTGCCATCATCCTTGCTGCTCTCTTCCTTCTATCTCCTTTGCGGGTTTGGTCATTTTTCCAGACTCGGGTTAAATAGCATTGCTTTCAGAAGCCTCCCCCGGCCCTTCCCAAGCTTTCAGGGGACCATACACCTGATTCAGTCCTTCTCTTCCTGCTTGCTTCTCTGACCTCTAAACTATGAATTCCCCTAGGTCTGTGGAGATGTCCAATCCACCACTGTGTTTCTAATCTCAACTACAGGAGATGGCACACAGTAGATGCTTAATAAATGTTGTCCAGGGGAATGAATACCCTAATGGAGGAATAATGGAAGAGTAAATAAAGGGGTTAGATTATTAAGGAGAAATGACACATTTTGTTTTCCTCATCTTTTATTGTTAATTCTTCAAGAAAATATGAACAATACCAAGAATGATTTTAAAAAGATAATGCACTTCATTTGCCAAAAATGTTTACACAAGATTAGCCATCAGAACACTAGCACTCTCTGGATGGGGCCAAACACAGTCGCCCAATGCCTATTTGTGTTAGTTGATCAATTCTACGAATTTTCCAACTCTAGCCATATTTAAATTTTGTATACTCTTCAAGTTCATGTGTATGTATATATCTGAAAAAAAAATTCAAGAAACTTGATAATCTGAATTTTTCTCCTTCCGTCCAGATTTTAAAATTGAAGATGAAATTGATTGTCATTGTGCTAAAGCAATCTTTAACTTCAAAACTGTTTACCCTTTAAAAAAATTAGCCAGAGTACTCAAGCAACAGAAAACTTGTTTACAAATTGAAATTCAGATCACTTAATACCAGAAAACTTATTTTTCTGAGTCAAAACCATTTTATTTCTTAGCAAATGTGCTATGCCAAAAATAGCAATGCACATCTTACCAATGTTTTGTCATCAACTTTTACATATTATAGTATCCTAGAATTTATTTTCCTCTACATTGACCTGATAAAATATTATTGAAGAAAAGAGCATAAGACTTGCCCTAAGCAATAAAGAGCATTTTTAGAATTAGAAGTAGAATTAAAAATGTTCATTTGGGTAACATCAGATTTGTTATCTCAAGCCTTTTAAGCACTTGCATTTTTAAGCAGTAGCCTAGCTTTTAGCAAGCACATTCACAATTAACTGCAAGTTTTCTTTTCCGAGATAATAGAGAAAAGTTGAAATCCTCAAAAGTCATTTCCCCCAATTGCTGTCACTCTGTTCTTTGGCTCCATCAAAACATCCAGAAACCCTTACACTAAGCCAAATGGCAACCTGCCTGAGGAATGCTCATCAAGCGTGGAGGGTGACAATCAGGCAGTGAGAAATTCACGGGTAAAACTGCTACTTAATGAGGAAAAGGGAGTGTCTTATATTTCAAAGAGAGTAAGTGATAACAAGGAGAAGAGAGTCTCAGGACGAGAGTGCATTTCCGGTAGGCACAGGCTTTCTTTCCTCAGCTTCAGAGAGGCATTTATTCATTTTGGAAAAAAAAAACCAAACCAAACAAAAAACTATGACTTAGGAGACATTTATCCTTAGTTTAAAACAAACTGACACACAAAAGTGGTATTAAGTGTTCCTTCAGTCCTTGAAAACAAACAAACAAACAAACAAAACCAAACAGGCACAGTGTTATCTTGATCCCTATTTTAGGAAACCAAACCCAAGTCGACAGTATTCTCAGCAGGCAGAAGTGAGATTGGAACAGGCACCTCTGTTTCCAAGACGCACGCTCTTTTCCAGGATGGCAGCCACTTCTGTTAGCAGCAAAGCCGGCCTCCCCACACACCTGCCCCACCCAGGTCTCAGCCCAGCTCACTCTCAACATGCTACTCCACTGCTCTGTCAGACTGAGTCGCTAGCTACCCTTGGGCTGCAGTCTGCCTTCCTTCTGGCCTGCTGGTGATCTCCCTTTGCTTTGCTTTTCCTTTTTGATGTCCTTTTGTAGAGTTTAGCACTAGACTCACCACTGCTAGGACCGTAGTGGCTAGGTTCAAGTGATGCCTTAGGCAGATGCAACCCCTATTTTCTTGGCACTCATTTCCTTCTCATCTGCAACATAGTGAAAGTGATAATGCTACCTTTCTCATTGTTATGGGTTTACATGAGATAACATTTAAAATGTTATCTTGGTACCAAATAAGAACTCAGTATGGGTAGGTTATTGTAGTTATTAGCTCCATCTTTACATCTGTGCCAAGACGCCCTCTTGCAAGAAGTCCACAGACCCTGTGCTCACCTGTCAGTGCTGCCTGCCATCCTCAGTGTCCACATGACCTCCAGTCATGTGCCCATTACTGTACATTGTACTGTGGATGGATCTGGGGTCCATTTTTCATAGTAAGGATTCACACAGCAAAAAGATGATTATATTATGTTCTGTTCTTAACATCTCCAGTCCCCAGCAAACATCTGGCAAAATATAGGCTTTCTGTAAATGTTTGTGGCACAAGTACATGACTGATTGAGCACAGAAAATAAACTTTGCTGCAATTTTCAACCTGGTTAATCCCAAAGGAAGAGGAGGCTCCATCTCAGAGTACACATTCCTGGATGACTGGCTCCTGCCACAATCCTGCACAGGATTGGTAGAGAACGCCAGTAAAACTGTGCTTCTCCATGTTCTTGATGTCAATGAACCACCCTAATGTGGAGGACAAGAAATGAATTCATTAAAGCACTAAAGAGACATTGAGATCAGAAAGATGTACATCAATGGAAGATTTCATTCACTCAAATATCCAGTTAATCATTTCTTCCTTCAATATAAGTACATCTACCACACTATGTGCTGAGCACTGTGATAACAATTAAGTATACAAAAATGAAGACATAGTTCCTGACCTCAAGGAGTGTGTGTGTGTGTGTGTGTGTGTGCAGTTGAAATACACATACACTGATGATTACAATATAGTCTCTATGCTCTGACATAGATTAGTGCACAAGACATCATACCAACGAAAATGATGAGTATCTAACCAGCTAAGGGTAGTCAGCAACTCTTCTTACAGGGGGAGGCTTTGGGGCTGAGCTTGGCCTTAATTAAAACCTTCATATATCTGTGTGCTAAAAAGGTGGAGGGGTAAATAAATTTGAAAACTGTTCTTATAAGTGTGGGCTATTTGCAAGCTTCTTTGGGCCTGTATTTACAAAAACACTCAGAGTTTGGCTTGAAATACTCACAGTTGATAATATGGGGATTGTGTACTCAGAACACAATATGGTTTCTGTACAAAAGTTAAAGATTTGTTCAGCATTCCTTCCAATGTATTTTCTTTAGTCTACCATACTATTTCAGTTGGTATTGCAGATACAGACTAAGTTCACAGGGATGGGTCTATGCCTCAAGGAACTTCAGCAGCACAGAAGATATACTAAGTAAAAAGTGATAAGTGAATTAAGATAGATACAGCTTTTCTGGAAGACAGAATGTTTTGTCATGCATCAGGATGCGATAAGGAAATTTGGTAGAGAGAGGTATGATAACCCTGGAGAAGGGGTCAGAAGCAGAAACAGAGGAGACGGATGCACAAACCGATGAGATGGGGGACGTCCTAACTATAGCTAAAGGGTACACAGCTACTGGCAGTTTCCATGCTACTTAAATTTTCACACACAATCACAAGCCACCTGTTCAAATCATGTTAAAATGCAGACTGTGATTCTGCAGGTCTTGTGTGGGGCCTGAGACTCTGCTTTTCTGAGGAGCTCCCAGGCAATGCCAGGTGACCTGCTTCATTACAGACGGGGCTCCTGGAGCTCAGGGCAGGAAGGGATTTGCTCATGCCACACTGCTGATTAGTATGACAGCAACTCTCTTCTCTTTCACTATCACAGCTCGGCAAGTGGTAGAAAGATCATAGGCTTTGGAATCAGGCTGATCCAGGCTCAAGTCTTGGCCCTGCTGTTTACTAGGTGCAAAGCCTCGGGCAAGTCATTTATCCTTTCTGTGCTTCAGCTCTCTCATTTGCAGAATACTGATAAATAACTCTTAGCTTGTAGAAGAGTTGTGATAAGTCAGTGTTATGACTGGCACACAAAAACACACACTGTAATGTCCAGAACACAGTAAATGATTAAAGCACACAATACATCTTCTTTCAGTCTCTGGGCAGGTGAACATTGGTGTCAGCGTGCACGGTGATATTCACATCGCCTTCCCCACAGGTCCTAGGCTGTGTTAGCATCCATAACAGGGTCGGGTTTAACATGGACTGACAAATATGTGTAAGTTTTGGCCAGAAAAACAAAAGGGATTCCTTTTTTTTTCCCACCGTCTCCTTGAGTAAGGATGTGTAGGTTGGTAAACATATCTCCACTACTGAGATTTTCATACTTGTTTGCAATTGAGGCATTTAAAACATCTATTTGTTAAGAGAAAATGCTCAGCTAATACCACGAATATTAATGTTGGACATTTCTGTTGTTCATTCTACTTTGGTTTTCTTCCTGGATCCACAATTTTTTTCTGGTTGTCTTAGTTGCCATTACCAAAATACCAAGAAAAAAATTAAATCTCATAGGTTCTAAGGAGATAATAAGAAGTAATGACTTGTGAAATGCGATCTTTTTAAATAACAAATACCCTGTTTCAAATGCTAACAAGCCAAAGGAAGAATGTTGCCACTTTTACATTATATGAGGGAGGGTTAGATTTAGTCAATATGGAATGTGCTGATGCTAAAAGGAAGAGAAAAAAATACAAGAAATTAAACCTGTTAAACTGTGCAGTGCAATTGTAAGAGCTGCTTCAGAAATCTATTTAGAAATCAACTCTCTGGTATCTGAGTCATTACTGAGACACCAGCATCACCCACTTCTTATTACTGCAAACGTAGCAACAGTTGCCATGCTAGCAAGAGACTGGCAACACAAACACTGGAGTCGGGAGGGAGGGCTGGGCTCGGGAGTCCGGGCTGTGGGCAGAGCACGGGGCCATCTGTGTAGATTTAATTAGATGGGTTGTTCTCTTTGGTCCCTGTGCTGTGTCCTGTCAGACATTTCTCCAGAGCAGAAACAGTCTCCAAAGCAGCATTTTTTGGACCAAGTCTTATTTTCAGCTGTGCTCCAACATAGCCACCAAAGGCAGAATCTTGCTTTGATGTACCCAAGAGTGGGTTTTGGTCTTCCTTTTGAGCCTGAGTGGAGACACGGCCAGGGTGTCTCTTCATTTCCAAGAATGAAAAACTCATAAAATGCTCATCATTAGAAAGTCAGGCCGCTGGTTGTCCCAATATGTCATTTCATCTCGTGGAAAGCTGAGGAATCTGTCACCGTTTATTTAGCAGTTTGCCTCTGGCAAACCTCTGCAGGTTCCATTGGTGTGGCTGGGAATTAGTTAATTAGTATTACAGGATGCACGGAGAAGAGAAAGCACTGTGCCTTGCCCTTTGGGTTGGAAGGAGCCCCTTTTAGGTTGCTAACAAGCACTGGGAAGGACAGAAAAGAAACCGAAATTACAGCATCAGAATAGCCGCCGTGCGGGCTGTGTCTGACTCTGCCTCTCATGCGGCTACGTTGTAACCTAAATATGTCACTTGCTCACTCTTCATGCAAATCTTTTATGTGTGACAATAAATTCGGGTCCTTAAACCTAATTTTTTTTAAAGGTGGCAATTTTACACACACCGGGCTCTTCTTCTGTCTTCACTTTCATTAGTTTCTCATTTTTTATCACTCTTTGGAACAGAATATTTTGTCTGATGTTCTTTCTTTGACATTTTTCATGGAGAAAGGTTGTTTCAAACTAAGGGTGGTTTTAAAAGTCAAGGAAAGGACTGACATTTCTTTGTGTGCTCCTTCCTCAACTTGGAGACTGAACGCCTGGCTGTTCCAGGAGATATCTCCAAGCCTCTACCCAGAGAGAACAGCAGCCGGGAAGGCTGAGGCCCCACCTCGGTGAGTCAACAGACTGCTAGGTGGTGCTAGAGGGCAAGGCAACTCGAAAAGATGAACGGGAAAGGTCGCTAGAGGTCTACACCAGCAGAAGGGAGATTCGAATCCTCCCACACTTCAGCACGATGTCCAGTTCTGATGGTTTGTAAGACAGCAGAAGACTGAGATACACAGGGCATTAGTAGCCAATGTATAACCTTCCTTTCACTTTTTGAGTGCACATGGGTGCATGGGAGTTGTTGGGATATTTCACCATAGTGCTTTCTGGTACTATTGTGCTTTATGACACCCAAAGGAGTGGAAAAGAGTTCATAGAAAAATGTAAATGGCTGTGTTAATGTTATAGGTGGTTATGTCTTTGGGGACCTTCGTAGAAATAGTTTTAACTTCCTGCAAGACCCTTCCCAGCCTTCTCTGATTTCCCCTCTCTATTCCATGACATTCAGGGACATAATGAGGTGTATGAGTACTTTCACATTCTTACCTCAAAGTACACAGCTATATATTTCCATTTCAGCTCCACATTCCATGACATTAGGGTATCTTTCTTCTTTTGTTAATTAGAAAAAAAATTATAGCTTCCTCAAGAAGGCATGGGCTTAAATCAAAGAGACAGAGTCAGCTGATAGGCATCATGGCATCAGCTTAGATCATAGCTTCTTCTTTTGGATTTTACATTTTTCTGGCACAGATCCTCAATGAGTCTGATAGCTGACTTTCAGCAAGTATTATTAAAAGTTACATATCCCAGAGATGATAAATATTCTGAGAAAATTGTCCTACCCTTAAGTTTAGGCCAACAACACTTGACTTTCCACATTTTCCAATATGAGCAGAGGCACAGAACTTACATGACAAGATCAGAATCACTGTGTTAGAAGACAAGACATGGCCAAAGTGAGGGTCAGACAACCACATGATGCCCCAATAAGCACTGAGCTTTGTTGAAAACTATGTCAGTTACAACTTAAATAAACTGTTTGAATAATCTTTTGTTTTCTTGACTTTGTAAATATTAATCTCCATGTAACAGTAGTTAAAGATTCTGATTCCAGATTGTGTTTATGAATTAGAAACTGTAGAGTATCTTTTCATTTCCAGTGTGAAGAACTTGTGAAACTCACCACTAGAAAGTCAGGATATTTGTGGTCCCCAAATTTCAGTAAAAAGAGTTTTTAATTTTTTCTTATGTATAATGAATGTGCATAAGAGCTATAAATTGATTAGTGTAGTGGGCAGTACATTTATTGAATAAATTTCAAAAGGCCTAGTTTTATAATATCCTTAATGTAGTAAAGAAATCAAACTAAACTAGAATTATCCTCAAAACTGGCCCTCAAGTGTCCCTACACTGGCAAATTTCTAGAAGGAGGGAGTTCATCCTTTCATGTGTTCTGATTTTCCATTGCTACTTTTAGAAATACGGTTAAAGAATGGGGCTGTTTTTGAGAGATGTGATTGAAGAGGACCCAGAGGGAGGGGTTAGCCCGTGACATGCTGGTCAGTGAGAGTGCTATGTGGAGTTGTTGTGTTCAGGCTGGGTCTGTATCAGTGCAGGGAACTGATTACAGTATCATGAGGAAGAATAAAAGGAAGAAAAGTGGCTAGTATCAAAATTAGAGTGAGAAAAGAAATTCCCCCAGCAATCAAAGGCTGTATTGGCCATAGACTGAGATGCCCAATACTCACCTGGATTTGGCCAAGTTTTAGTGTGAAGTTGTCAATACCCCGGGCAGCTCCCTGCTCAGT